CAAAGAAAACACTGCGGTTCACCATTACAAAGATCAACCGAGTAGGATCTGAGGTTTTCACGGCGGCGTGCATGATTATGGCTGACTTCCGGTTTGTCGCGACGTGTATTCTGGTAGAAGTTGTCCGACGTGTCAGAGGTGTTTGGGTGAAAGTCCTGATGATGGACGCAACAAATACCTCTGAAACGTTAGTAAATTTTTCCAGATTACACAGCGATACAACTCATCTTAGTATGAGAGATTAACTTTCCAAGTAGACGTTTAGAAACTCATTTGCATGACCCTGGATGTCTGATTCATTCGGTACAAACAGAACGTGTTCCGTAATTGGGATGTCCTGGTTTCAAGTCTCGACCCACTTACCGGAAACCATCACGTTTTTGTGGCGCACCGAGTCCCTCCAACTAAGTCTTAAATTAGGCCACAACACGTTTCTTCTCGTTGTATACAATCTACCCAACAATCAGCTTATCACTTCACACTGTAGAATCTCAGCTACAGAGAGCGTCTTTGAAATAAACAAAGAATACAGAAAGAATATTCAAAATGCCGAACAATGCTCGGTGCGACATCACTCATTTCCATGCTAATTGTAGAAATATTCTTCCAATATAAAACATCTTTATAACGAAGTACTTAATTGAAGACCGCAATAAACAACCAAAATTCACTACCGAGAAATTTCCATTCTCGCTTCGTATTCGGGACGCAACTAGTTCAAATTTCAGGAAGGGAGACAGGTTGTCCTGAGATTTTCGTAGTTTTTCTCAGTACCTCCGTACCTACGTCGCGATAGTAACTTAAATTTGGCCACGACCGCTTTCTAGCAGTCCCTTTCCAAGTCATTATGCGCTAGTCATGCTGCAGAAACTTAGTCGCTCAAACATTGCTTAAATTGTAATGTTGGTTTTTTGTGGTACTTGTAACGCCGTGTTCACTTGTACCCAGACACCAACGTTTCTCAGAAACATACCGTCTCCATTTTAAATTAGTCCTGAAGATGGAACAAATATGTATCTCCGAAACGGTGGTATCTCACAGGAGCGAGAACCTCGTGTCGTCACTCATTTTACCGGCCTGTTTAAATTATGTTCGTTTTGGTGTAAAAGCATAGCTAAATTCACACGAAATGCAAACGAGATTTTTCTCAGGCATCGTTCAACGGCTGACCGCACGAAATGATTGTTGCATGATGTTGCAACACGAAGATTCACCACTTGGTTTAAAAATTTTCTAAATGCACGGAATGTTCAACAATACACGTTATAAAATAAATTGCGATTACCTCCAGCGTGATTAATTTCGTAACAACTGACCGCGATCTGCAGTCAGCAAACGGCAAGGCCAAGGCCAAGGCCAATGAGGAAGCAATGAATTGCAAAGAAAGCGTTTGGAAAACTCGAGTGCATTTGTCAGCGTGGCTCTGCTCAAAGTAAATCAGAGCGACAGTTGGCTACACTGACGGACTTACATATTTGTTTTTTCAGGATTCGTAAATCTGCTTTTGAGGTCCTGTTTGCTCTCACGGAATCCTTCAGATGGGAGGACCAACCAGAAACCGACCCCGACACGAAAGTTTTAACAATGGCTGGACTGATCACTCGAATTCAGAGATACATGCTGTGTGCAATAATTTTTATCAACGGATATCACATAACCAGCACAATTATAATCAGAGCGAAACATTACTTCCTGATGTTTGAAACGTGGCACCCATTTGACAACTCGTCAATGCTGGTCTTGCAAATAACGAATATCTCAGAGGTAACGATTACTTCTGATTTGTTAAAAACTAGAAATGTTCATAAATCACTAATACTAGTGTTATCATGTCGCATATATTTCTCACAGTCATTGTTACTGCTAGACACACTTTATTTAACTTTTAATGCAGTAATTGCCCGTGTGTAAGTAAATCGAATTTGTTCAGGATCTGTAAAAGTTTTAATTGTTGTTAGTTCATTGTTACATCTGGGCATCTGTTGTCATCTTGAAAAAATCTGTACGCATTGGGCCGTCCGTATTAACTGCATGAGATAGAAATTAATTGCCTTGTGTTTGCGTAGCGTGTTCATCTTCTACTTAAAACATCTTCGTTGTCACGTCCTTCCGCTTATATTCCTGAGACTCCGTCCCCCAGTTAACATAAATTATGCAGTTTTATGGCGATTTTGTGGAGTGAAATTGTTGTTATTCTTTATTTTATTAATTCACTCTTTTGTTTTGCGTGTTCTTTGCACGGAACAAAGGGCTGTTCCTCTCTGTCCATCACCATGTTTCAGTTCCAGAATCGCTGAACGGATTTCGACCAATCTTATCATTGTGCGTTATCGCAAACAAGTAATTCTTAATTTCATACAGTCACGAAAACCAACATGGTGGACGAACAATTTTTTATGTGTGAAAACGACATAAATGTCGCTTAAAAGGGGTTTTAAAATTTATGTATGCTAATTGATATTTGAATAAAATATTTTGTTCCGGCAACTCTTTGTTAAAAAAAGTCGAACGGGAACATTAAGGAATTAAGCCTCAATCAGAAATCGATTGCCTGGTCATCTGTGCTATCACAGAGTTAGAAGCACTGTGGTATAAAATTACATTATTTAAAGAACTGATTAAGACAACGTGGGTTGTAAAGTTAAGGTACAAATGGAAGGAGATTGATATAAGACCTTTTATGATTCCTATTTTGTCGAGCATGAACAAGTTAAGATATATCATGACATACATCGCATATGTTATACAAAGTCAATGCACCTTACTTAAAATTATGATGGATGCGGCAAGGACCTCTGAAACGTCGGTAAAATTGTATTAGAATACACGTCAGTACAACCCAGAAGACGGGCATCTCGGGATTCACCTCCGTGAAAAATTAAAATCAAATTCTGATCTGCAGACAACAATCACTTTCCGATAAACAAATGAGTGAGCAGATAAGAAAGGAGACGTTCTTATTGTTTAGTGATGATGATGAATATAGTAATAATTCAATTCAATTCAATTCAATTCATGTATTTAATAACTATAACAGCTGACGTACGCTGACGAACACCCCTCTGAATCGCCGACGACTGTTCCAAAACCAAACACCAATAATTTTCAATCGCTTCCGTGCAAATCCGTCACAGAATCCGGGTAAAATGTTAGAGAAGTCATCGCCGACCAAAACCTGGGCACCTATTCGCATGTAAAACGAAACACGTAACAAACATCTCCACGAGGAAGCACGAAGTGATGGCTGAGTCCACTTTCTCAGCCGGAGCAGGAAAAACCAGCATTTAGAAGTGACTTCTAATTGTACACTTCAAACGCCTCTATGAAAGCAGTCGTTTCAAAAATACTGCATTTAACACGTGTTACTTTAGAGGAAAATAAGTGTAATTTGTGGGTCCAAGAGAATGGGGGTCACAAGGTCAGAATAATAACGGAAATAGATTTTAACAGTTGAGTTTTCGACCAATGCCGATACATTTATCACTCAAATGATCCAATGAGTGACCCCCCCCCCCCG